AGAGATAAAATTGACAAAACGTTCATATAGTGTAAGAATGGTGATTAACTAACATGTGGCAAAATGGTCTGTTGGTGAGTATGTCATAAACTTATACACAGGTCTGGGGTTTGAATCCAAGCAAAGGTTTGGAAAGATTCGCAAAGGTTTAATCTGGTTGAACCGCCGGTCCGTTGAAAAGTCAATGGTTCACTTGCAGAAACGATCTAATTAGCGAACCGGCCCGGTTCAATGGCCGATTCACCGAGTTGACCGGTCGAACCGCCGGGTCGGACCGTGTTTAATAACTATGCTTGTAGGGCTCCTCACCTAAAAAACTATGAAAAGAAAGTAAAAGGTGAATTAGACTAGACTTTAATTCAAAAGGGCTATTATTATCTAAATTTGGAAAGGTAATGCATAATGGCTGCTGATTTAAATTTGGAGCAGCCAACTCCTTAATGTTCGAGCATTAGCCATTTCAATGTTTTCTTGATCAGAATCACTCGAGGTGGCACTATGCTTAGTCTTCTCTATCTCAAGATAGAAAATTAATTCACCTGTACAAGATGAACATGGCATAAAATAGAAAAAATACCAAAAAAATAAAAAATAAAATGAACTAAAAAAGAAAACAAATTAACTAACGCTAGTCCCCGATAACGGCACCAAAAATTGACAGGTTGTCGAGTCTGTACAATAATAAATACTTATTCAAATAAAGTATAAATTTTGTATACAGTGATAAGTATGGTCGAATCCACAGGGACTAGGGAAATTCGTTTTTCCTCAAGTTCAAAGTATGGAGGGATTTTTATAAAAATATGAATAACTAAACAAATCAAATAAAAAGGCCTAACTAATAATTTACTAAAAATGAAACAATAATAAATAAACTCTAGCCAAGAAATAACTTCAGAAATGGTTCACTCAATTGATCATGGATGCAATAATAATTTCATTCACTCACTGATAAACAAGTTATAATTGCCAAACAAGCGATGACAATCAACTTCTCCTTATTGTATCGGTGATCAAAGTACAATCGTTAATCACTTCCCTAATTAAGAAATAACCCTAGGTATGACCATAGAGTTCAATTTCTTAATTGCCTTAAGAATTAGAGAAGCCTGTTCTAACCAAATAACACGCTACCAGGGTTATTTTAAATTAGCTCATACGTTCTTTTGACACAAGCCCAATCATGCTAGTCACTACTAATTTAAAACAATGAAACAATTACAGATTTAACTGCTCTAACTGGTTTTAGGTTATTAGATTAATTAAATATCGTGCACCCTTGATATTCAAACAAAATACTAACCATAAGAAATTAAATCAGAAAACATACGAATACCAGTAAATAAAAGAAATAAAAATAATCAATTCAATCTCACAATCTTTGATGAACCACATCTTTCGTTGTTCCTTGACTAGAAAAAAGGAGATTTAGCTACTCATCATAGAAGGAAATCCGCAAGACTTCATCGATAATTATTGCTTATGGTTTTCTCCAAAGTTAATGAAAGACAAGAAGGAAATGAAAAAGACAAACGGCGGTCGTATCATCAAGCTCCAAAGAGTCGCCCCTCCAATTTGTTATTGGCTGAAGTGTTCATTAAATGGGATTTTGTCTTTTCCTCTTTTCTTGTTTCCTAATTGAAGTCTACTACTAAATAACAACTAGTCTCCTAAATAGAAAAATAAACCACAAAAAAAATATTCCAAGTTTCCTAATTCAACCATAAAACTAATAATGAAAATTCAAATCTTTCAAATCTTCCTCTAAAGCTGCCCAAAATTTGAATTAGACTTGGAAACAGGCCCCGAACGTGTGAATCTCAAATCCTTTGGCCTTGACAACCAATTTGCAGAAAATCACCTATTTTTAGCAACTTTCACTTTACCACTCTACAATTAGTACAATTAACCAAATATAAGTAGAATCCGACAATTAAAATAATATTTGGCTAGAATAAAGGGGAAATCAATCATCAATTTAATGACAAATTTCAACCTATCAAAAAGTGTTGGATACTTGCACTTTTTTAAAATGAAAACAGTTAACCCGAATTCATTACCATTTTTTAATTCAAATTCAAAAGCGAAATGAATTCGGATATCCCTAATTCGAAATTAAAGCGGTTTAGAGTTTTACAAGTTCAATAATCAAAATAACCAAATTCAACTAACCGAGTTACCGATTTACACTGAACGCCCACCCCTACTTGATCGCATTTTCTACACTGACTTCAATTAATGTTGACTTTCTATATTTTGATATTGAGCCAACTTACAAACTCTTTTCTTAATCACTTAAGACGAGTATATATTTGAAATGTACTATTCAGCCCATTGTTTTAGATAAGCTTTTCTTTTTGGAAAATTTGGAAAGGGAAATAGGAAAATTTAAAAGACATAAGAAGGGAATAAGTTTCAAGAAATTGGCAAATGTGTTGTGGATTACTGTTCATAAATTATAGGAAAGATTAATGCCGTTGGCAAAATCATGAATGTGCACGTACATCACATGTTCACCATTTGAATATGCGCATGTATGTCGATTTAAATGTGCAAATTCGAATGTACATATATGTTCATCAAAGTGCACACTTTTATTCATTAAGATGGATATTCCTGTTTAATAAAATGCACATGGTTACAAGGGTGATTTATTTATGTAGCAATAAATTTATTTGTAGTTTCAATCCATAAATAGTAACCCATACCCCATTTGCAAATTTAGGATAGTATAGACATTGTTATTGGAGGCAACTTCTCTCTAAACTGAGAGCTTTATCTCTCTAAGTGAGAGCATCCTCTCCTCTGGGTGGGAGAAAGGGCCCGGTAAAATTCAAAACTTTCACTAATTCAAAAATCAAAACACAAACTCCGCCAAAGCTAACAAACATTGCAAACACAAAACACAACAAATCTGTATCAGCAAAACCAAACACACATGTAAAGGCAAGGATCATTGGAATGCTCGAGTTGGGAAAGCAAGAAACAGCACTCAAGGAATACACGGTGGTTAATCAGCTACAATTATGATGTCTCAGATCGGCAGACCACCACCACTAATGGAGACAAAAAGACTAGTGAAAGAAAGGTATTAAAAGCTAGTGGCCAGTGCTGAAAGCAAAAAACCAGGTATCACAGTTAATGAATCCCACTACTATGCCTTAAATACTGCATTCATTGCATGGTTAGGGTTGTATTGTGCCTTCCTGGGTTTGCATTTACATAGAAAAGATTGTAGCTTTAGTCATTTTCTTCACTGATTTTTCAGCTTCTGTTCATTGTTTGGGTATAGTTAGTGGAATCCTGTCTAATTTCGTCAGATCTCATGGCGGATGAAATAGAGGAAGTTCTAAAAAAGTTTGCCTTGTCTAAGTATAGAACAGAGTGGAACGTTGTTAGAGCTGGATGATGTGGATACAGGAGTTTTTGAGTGTGCAAATAGTATTATTGGGAAGATAAGAGGAGAGAAAATGGCTAATTTCACAGGGGTGAAGAACTTTGTCACAGCAGCTTGGGGGTATCCTAAGGAACTAACTCTGACTGAGTTGGGGCCAAACCTTTTCTAGTTCTTTATCCTAGAGCAGGAGGAAAGGATAAGAATCCTCAATGGTGGACCATGGGTGATGGATAACCAAATACTTGTGCTCAGTAGTTGGAAGGAAGGCATTGAAGAAAGTATGGAAGCTTTTAAATTTGCCCCACTATAGGTACAAGTGTGGAACCTCCCCATTCATTGGATCTCTAAGGAAGTTGGAAGGAAAATAGGGATGGTGTTTAAGGAGGTCAAAGAGGTGTTAATTTCTCATGCACGAGGGAAGGAAGGGAAACACATTAAGCTCCTGGTGAAATCTGATATGACCCAACCTTTACTCAGAGGTACTGCAGTTAAGATGAATGGAGTCTAGAAATGGATAAGCTTCAGATACAATAGAGTCCCAGATTTCTGCTACAAGTGTGGGATAATTAGCCACAGTGAAAAGAAGTGCAAGAACAATGTGATAACCAGTAAAGGCCAAAAGGACAACCAGTATGGCCCCTGGTTAAGAGCTCAGCCTGGAAAAGGATCCCCTCAAAAGAAGATGACTGCTAGTACGTATATCCCAGATAGGCAAGTATGGGGGTACCATAATGGGGAGTGGATTAAGAAAAGCCTGGGGAAACCTACAGAACAAGAGGTAAGTCATCCCATAGAAGATCTAAACAGGGGAAAGTCGAGGGTTTTTGAGGAAGGATCCTTGTGGCAAGGCTAGAAAGGTATGCCTGGGATAAAGATTAATGATGCACAATAGGCTAGTAGGGACACCTTTGATGAGCAGATGATTGATAACATTAGGGATCCTGAAGTGGAGAGACTGGAGATTATTATGAAGACTGGACCAGAAGAGAGAAGGGAGGAGGAGGGTACAAAGAATGAAGGGATAGCCACAGAGCCAAAGATCATGGTGAATAGTGAAGCTAATAATAAACAGGTAGTGGTCTCATCCTTGCATACAGATATGCAGGTGGAGGAGAGAACTGATAAGTCTAAAGAAGCGACAACCACAAGAGAGAGGAAAGTCAGACTTTTGAACAATAGGGGTACAAGAGGGAGAAAACCTCTGAAAGAAATACAGAATTTGGAAAATGGGAACGGCCCCCAGACAAAAAGAAAGATCCTTATGCTGGATGAGATCGATCATGGATGATAAGGAGGCTTCTGTTCAGGCAACAAAGAGGAACAGAACTGCAAGTGTTGAGGAGTGCAAAGGTAGTGCTATGAGGGGGAAGAGGCTAGCCCAAACTGGCCTCTAAGACAAGAATAAGAGTGCTGGTGTGGAACTGTCAAGGTGTTGGGAGCCCCTTGACAGTTCCCCACTTGAAGGAGGTTAACAACCTCCTCTCTTCAAGGTTAATTTTCCTAAGTGAAACTAAAAATAAGAGAAACTAGATGGAAAAAATCAAAAAAATTTTGAATATGGACAACATTTTCGTGATGGAGGCCATGAACAGATCAAGGGGGAATGGCTCTTTTGTGGAGCAATGAGATCAAAGTTACGAAAGTGATAGGGACATCATTCACTATTGAGGCTAAAATTGAAGATGAGGAGAAGAAGGAGAGCTGGTGGTTTATTGGGATATATGCTAGTTGTGATTACCTAATAAGAAGGGGACAATGGGAGGTTATAGGCAGAAGGAAAGCTGGATGGGGGAAAAAATGGATCATAATAGGAGAGTTCAATGATATAGTCTCAAATGAGGAGAAATGGGGAGGAAGGAATAGAGATGATAGAAGTTTCCAGGATTTCAGGAATCTTGTTGATGATAATCAGCTTTTGGATATTGGTTTTGAAGGGAAGCCATGGACATGGTGCAATAACTGGTATGGGGATGGTGAAGTGAAAGAAAGACTTGATAGGGGATTATGTACACTAGAGTGGTCTCAATGCTTTAGTGAAGCTAACTGCAAGCATATTGAATCTCATGCATCAGATCATAGTATGCTATTCTTGGAAACTCAGAAAGATAAAAGGAGAAGGAAAAAAAAGATTCCAATTTGATAAAAGGTGGCTCCAACACAAGGAGGTGGCGAATGTAGTCAAACAGGCATGGAGCATACCCTGTGAAGGAACTCGATGGTATCAAGTGAGTCAGAAGATCAAAAACTGCAGAGTTGAGTTACTGAAATGGAATAGCAGCAAGAAAGGGAATTCCTTGGAGAGGATCAATGCCTGCAAAAACAAGATTGAGGACATCAAGGCATCAATTGTTGGAAATAAGAGCCAACAAATTCAGGAGGCTAAGAAACAATTAAAAGCTGCATATGATGTGTGACAGCCCCACCTCCCCCTAAGGCGAACCAGAGGGTTCGGCGGGCCGCCTGCCCAACTCTCGCCGGGACTCAGTCGTTCACTACAATCCTCAAATGAATTACAAGATAAAACTCAAATATTACATCAAATTCTCCAATAAATAATTACATATCAAAAGCGAAGCGGAAATAATTCTCAACTATACATAAAATGATTTCCAAATCCAAATTGTACAAAACATAGGCCATCCAGTCACGTGCACAAGTACTACAAGTCCTTCCTTCGCCTTGAGCCCTGTGGAGGGGAAAAATATTTTTGGGGTGAGTTAGAAGCTCAGCGAGTAACCAGTAAAATCATTAAACAAATATATTTCACAATGTTGCATTTCGATCATTTCGATGATGTCATGATTCAGAGATCAAATGTTCGTTTAGTGCTCTCGTGAGCCAGGAAAATCATAGCACTTGAACACCCAACGCTCAAATAGATCATTTAACATTAACATTAACATTAAGAGGGAGCCCCTTCTTGAGCTCCAGATAAACATGAACATGAACCATAAACAGAGTGGAGACGTTGGTGTCCAGCACAAGACTTTCCCAGAACTCATTGAAGCCAAATCATGTCATGAACTCACATGCAAGCACGCATGATATGCAATCGAGTACATAATGCAAGAAATATTTCACAAGTACTTTGGAAATAGTTTAGGGTCACTCACCTCCACGGCTCAGAAACCATCCATCATATATCATTGCCTTGCTCAAATCCAAGTCTTAGTTCACAACTCAATGCAAACAAGTCCTTTCAAAGTTCGGACAGCACTTCCCCTGAATTTCTTTACTTTTCCAGCCATCATGGCTTCATTATTTCCTCATTCCAACCCAAAGGTACACACACAACAACAAGTTCATCCAATAGCCATTCAGCAAGCTCCAAGTAGTACTAGTACAAGTCAAGCTAGGGAAAAGTCCGGAAATGAAAGTTAAGCTCAAAACCAGAAAAACAGTTTTGACGTCATTTTGCGGTAATGGTACCAAAGGCGCTACGATTGTCGGATGAAGGTACAAAACCCACCGTTTCGAAGCTAAGAGATAGGGATAAAATATTGCAGAAGGTCACTCAACCCAGTTTCGAGTGTAACCAGGTCAAAAATGCAAGATACTACACCAGAATCACAAAAACAGATTCACAGAACGCATTCTACCGGAAACATCATAAATCAGGCTATCCAAGTCCAAATCCAGAAATTCCAAAACCAGCTGAAAGCTAAGAAACAGGGCTACATTTCATCAGAGGACCTCAACAATCAATTCGGAAGCAATTCCAGCCAAAACAACCAATTACAGGCGCAATTCTTACATTCGGGTAAAACCAGAACAGCAATAGTAATTTCGACTTTTCTCACTCTACACTACTCCGATTGACCTGAAATTTTGTAGGTACAACTTTCATGTTTTAAGCCAAGGCCAATTCGGCCTCTATCTATGAGCTATAAATTCGGGCAGAATGCACAATCATAAACCCTAACTTTCCAAAATTTCTTCCAAAACAGAAATTGCTTGCAATCATCCACTTTTTCCACCTTCTAGTTTCCTTAAACATCATTTCCAATCATCATATATAGCCACACAATCATGTCCATATTAAAACAGAAAAATCCCCAAAAATTATAAAACTTCACCAATTCAACCAAAATCAAGATATAATCCATAAAAGTGCATCTTATACCACTACCAATCATGAATTGAACATCATTAGAGGAAGGAGAGGGGTCCTTCACAACTCACCTTAGTAATACAAGAGATAGAGCAACTAGTCACCTTAGCTTTCCAAACAACTCCACAACCAAGTTCAACTCCACCAAACTAAGAGGTTTTATGGAGTAAATTCAAGTTTAATCGGTTGGAATTGAAGATTGAGTGAGATGAGAAGCTAGAAAGTTGAGAGATTTTTCTTCTTTTCCTTTGAGAGAGAGCCGGCCATGAAGCATAGAAATAGGATGATTTTTGGGTCAAAATTGAGTATTAGTAAAGGTAAGAAATAATGGTCAAAGTCCAAGATTAAATCACAAGGTGACACTTGTCACCTTTTTGGTTTAAAACTTATCTTTTTGTCTCTCCAATACAAATATCTTAACACCTTGTAAAATAATATCACTTAATACAAAATTCCAACAAGTTGTCAAAAATATAATGCATTTACCGCACTAGCGGGTCCCATGTTCAAAATACGCTCTTAATTTCTCAAAAACTAACCGATACTAGAAAAATCATTTTAAAACTTTATCTGGGGAATTTTTCTAATAAAGAAAATGTAGAAAAGGCGGGCGATTAAATAAAATAAACCCTAGAAAATTAGAAAATTTCCGGGTTCTCACTCTTATTCTTTCGGGGCGTCACTTGATGAGGAAGAAACATATTGGAACCAGAAATCTAGATTGAGATGGCTGCAATAGGGGGATAAGAATACTCAATTTTTCCATGCAATGGTTAAGGGTAGGAGGAAGAGAAACAGGTTACAGAATTTGAGAAAGACTAATGGAGAATGGACTGAGAATGAGGAAGAGGTGGGAAAGGAAATAGCTTATTACTATGATCAGCTGTTTAAGACTTCAGAAATAGGAGATCTAGAAGAAGTATTAGATGGGATCCCAGTAACCATAACTGAACATATGAACAAGGATTTGACTAAAAAAGTGACTGAAGATGAAATCGAGGCTGCCTTCTTTTCTATGGATCCTAATAAGGCTCCTGGAAGTGATAGTATGTCTCCCTTGTTTTTCCAAAAATTTTGGAGTGTTATTAAACAGGATCAGGTAAATGCAATTCAAGGTTTTTCCACCACAGTGTCATGCTTAAGGCCATTAACCATACAGTCATTTTTGATCCCTAAGGTTGATTGCCCCACTGAAGTTAAACAATACAGACCTATTAGCCTTTGCCAAGTTGTCTATAAAGCTATTGCCAAAATTTTGGTCAAAAGGTTAAAGCCTTTTCTCAGTCAGTGTATCAACAAAAACCAATCTGCTTTTGTTCTAGGTAGGCAAATACTAGATAATGTCATTTTGTCTCATGAGTTAATGCATTTCCTAAAAAATAGAAGGCATGGTAGAGATGGATTCATGGATGTGAAATTGGACATGTCTAAAGCCTACGATAGGGTGGAGTGGAAATTCATTAAGGCCATTATGGAAAAAATGGGTTTCTGCCCCACTTGGATTGGTTGGATTTTATCTTGTATTAGCTCAGTTACCTACTCCTTCAATATCAATGGGGAACACAAGGAGTACATCACCCTTACCAGAGGTATAAGGCAAGGGTATCCCCTTTGCCCTTATCTGTTTATAATGTGTTCAGAGGGATTCTCAAACCTCCTATTGAAAGCGAAACAAGGGAAGGAGCTAACAGGAGTTAAAGTGAGTAGAGGGGCTCCTACAATTACACACTTGTTTTTTGTAGATGACTCACTAGTATTCTGCAAAGCATGTTCTCAAGAAGCTGACAAACTCAGAAGAATCCTAAAGGTGTATGAAGAGGCAACAGGACAGCTCATTAACATGGACAAATCAGTAATCTTCTTTTGCAAGAATATGAATCTAACAGTGAGGGAAGAAATCTGCCAAGTCATGGGGTCAATGCAGCAAGCGAGTCAGGGAAAGTACCCTGGTCTACCTATGATCATAAGTAGATCAAAACAGCAAGTATTTGGATTCATCAGGAACTCTATTGACAAGAAGCTGCAAGGGTGGAGGAACAAATTCTTGAGCCAGTCAGGAAAGGAGGTAATGCTCAAAGCAGTGGCAATGGCCATGCTTATTTACACCATGTCTTGCTTCAGATTGAACACCAAGTTGTGCAAGGAAATCAGCTCCAAAATGGCTAATTATTGGTGGGGGGGAATCAGAAGGAAAGGATAAGATGCACTGGGTTGGATGGAAGAAGATGACAAAAGATAAAGAAGATGGGGGATTGGGGTTCAAAGACTTGCAAATGTTTAACAAAGCTTTATTGGCAAAACAGGTATGGAAGTTGCTGACTCAACCAAATCTGCTGCTTAGCAAGGTTCTAAAGGAGAAATATTACCCCAAGCAGTCACTCTTCAATTGTAAAGTCCCCAAGAATGCCTCTTGGATCTGGCAAAGTATATCATCTGCAAGAAAGGAAGTGCAAGAAGGAATAAGGATAAGGATAGGTAATGGCAGAGGAACAAGAATCTGGGAAGACAATTGGATCCCAGATAGCCCAAGTGGGAAACCAACAACTGCTAAGCCACTAGATTGTCAATTGGATAAGGTCTCAGAACTGATCACCAGTAGCAGATGGAACAAAGTCTTCATTCTCAAGACATTCTGCCCTCAAGATGCTGAAAGAATTATGAGCATTCCAATAACTGTGACAGGAAGAGAAGATAGCTACTGTTGGATGCATGCTCAGAATGGTCAGTATACAGTACAAGCTGGATATAGAGAAAGGAGGAAGGATAAGGAATAGAAAGATAGAGAAGGAGGAGAAGAGGCTAGTCCAAGCTACAAAGGTACCCTTACTACTGTCTGGAAGGCACTGTGGAAGCAGAAAGTGAAGCAGAAATTGAAAGTATTCATATGGAAATGCTTACACAATGCTCTCCCCGTTAGGGAACTAGTATTCAGAAGGACAAGCCAAGGAAATCCAATGTGTAGAAGCTATGGAGAAAAGGTGGAAACTATAGAACATATGCTGCTTCAATGTAGTAAAGCTAAGGAAGTATGGGAAATGGCTCCTGTGCAGTGGGATGGCCTAGTGCACCTAATCATGGTTCGAAGTCTCGGCCGAGACCGAGACGACTCGGCCGGGTCGTCACCGTCTCGGCCCTACCGATACGATATCGTGACTAAACGATACCGAAATACTTGACTCGCCGAGAAATCGGCCGAGTCGTCACCGCGACGGATTGACTCTACCGAGTCACACCGACTCACTCCGAGTTATCCCGAATCACACCGCGACGGATTGACTTGGCTGTTTCTTTTGCTATTTTTTA